GACCAGTGATTCAATAGATTAATTAATACTTCTGTTAATCTGATTGATCTGATGCCATCTAGATTTCCAAATGGTCCATAAAATTAATCTCTAATCATTTAATGATGTTATTGTTATTATATCAATAAATATGTTATTTTAAAGATAAATATAACTCTCATTGTTATTATTAAAAATATGCTCGAATCGGCATTTGCAAAATTGTAAGCGTATAATCTATAATAATGAAATGATGTATAAAAGCCATGGTTCGTTACTGACTTGAATATTGTAAATATTGAGCTAAGTTTTATCATTATCATTGTTATTTGTTAGCCATTCTTACTACCATATCATAAATAAATTTTAGAGGCTTCAGTGCAACATTTCAGAGTTGTTTATTTTTTTAGGGCAGCGTTATTAAAGATGGTACCATGCTGTTCCTATGTAAATTATTACAACAAATTACTATAAAATATTTTGTGAGTAATAGGTTGCAAAATAGTTTCTTGATGATACAAATCTTTAAGGCATGTTGTAATATTTACTATTGATTAAGTGCTGCGACATTTAGTGATATTCATTAAATCTTTAATATTAGTGCATTGGTACTAATTCGAGATAATAAAATTCTGGTTAAACGAAAGAAAATTATCCAAAAAAAAATTCATATTTAGTGAATGCTTATTAATAGATCACCTCTTGTTCTTAAGTTTTAAAAAATCATTTTGCTAAGTAAGGAAATATAGAACTACATATTTATCTTTCGTCCACTCTCCTCTTGACTGAATACAAAGTCCTTGCTAAACAAGTTTAAAATAACTCTTTAGCAGAGGGCATCAGCATGGAATTAGGATAGTGACTTAAAAAAAATGATTACTTAAAAATATCAATCATCCACTGTGCTTTTTTTTAAAAACAAAACTCTTATTTTTGATGTACATGTAGCTAATTGAAATCACAGATTTGGAAAATCTGATCACCTAACACCTGTTTCCTTCTACTGCTTGTTGTCTAGTTTGTGTTCTGCCTGAGTGAAATCAGTTACTCATTAAAGTTGTTTATCTTATGTAAATCAATTAAGCATCTTGGTGGTTAATTAATGAACCCTGTACAAATTGTCAAAACTTACATCAACACTTGAACCACACCTACTTTTGGTGATGTCATCATTTTCACTGGTAGTTTGATTTGACTGAAAGAAAAGCAGGTCCAACAGGCTTATCACAAATATCAAAACTTTTTTTCTTTTTCAAATATTTTATAGAAAAAAGAATAAAATCTTTTCATCAGTAATATTTTTCATAAAAGAGTGATGATGATTAGATGTTATAGATGTTTTCTGTAATTTGTATTGTTGCTTGTTGAGAATCCCAAATCTTCTGCTGGATGGTTAACACTCATTAAATATTGTTCAAGTACATTTTTTTTTAATTATAAAAAAGGAACATTTACAGTCTGTTAAAGGAATTTTATCTCTAAGATAAAGCAACAACAATGCATTGTTAAATAATGGTTCTCATTTCTGCAATTAATTTCATACTTCTGTGTTTTTAGCAATATTTTTACAATAAAATAGTATTTTAGAATCATTGAAATTTAATGCATGCTGATGTCCAGGTGCACCAAAATGGATGAAGATCCGATGGTAGATGATACAGTATGTATGTATGAAAGGCCTATGTCTAAACTCAAAATGTAAAGTGTAGTTATAAATAAAAAAGTATTTATGTGTGAAAATACCAAAGCATGTGATTTTAGCAGTAATATGTACTTTGTTTGTACAACAATTGTTTCAATTAACATTCTGACCAAACTTACTGTAATTAATGTTATCAGTTTGTTTTGCAATTACCCAGGAGGATGGAGTGTGCACTTTCCCCTAAAAAGGCCTGTGTGCCCCCCCCCCCCACTATTGATAATGTATGAGCTCCCCCATTTCAAGACCTGTACCTGTGCCATAAGATATATGCCTGCAGATACAAACACCCACCCCCCACACCAATTTGAAACTCCTCAGAAACTGACCAAGCCCACTATAATGATGTCATCAATTTAATTGACAGTTGTTTTGATGGTTTAACACATCACCTGTCAGAAAAAAAAGGCTTTTGACATAAATGAGGTGTGAAAACCACTTCCAGATTCTGTTCAACTAAGATAAACTATTACCTAATTGATTTAATATTCCCTGTAGGCTTTTAATAATGTGATTGATGCTGTAGAAAATTAAATTTGTTGATTTTTATCTCTGTGGTATGTTGTTGGATGCCAGATGTATCATAATCTAAGGTCTAGGCATTGTTAAACACATGAATATTCATCATATAATTTTATCATTTAAATATTCAAATTATTTGAATAATATTTGCCACTGTGGACCTGTAAAGCACAAATTGACAGAGAAAATAAATGTGTTTAAACAAAATGAATCAAGAAACTACCCTTAAATCCTACTCCTTAATTAAGCATGGTTGTCTGTTGACTCGTGTTGTCATTATTTATGTACTTCTTACTGAAATGTTACGAAAAGTATTCTGTTGCCTGTGGTCATTTGGTCTATTATCTATCAAGCGCTATAAGTGACACAATACGCAAAATACATAGCGAGAAGCTACATTCTTATTCGGTTTAGGCTCGGTAGGCTAGTTTTGGATATTCTTCTACCAATTAATAATAATAGAAGCTTTCTCTTAAATTGCATACCGACCAATTTAAGTTTTTTAGATATTTAATTTCTATTAATGTGATAGAAGAAGAAAATTTTACATTAAAAAAATTTTTTATGATGATTTATTTGGGTGTATAATATACTTAGTACTTTTGGTTATTAATATTATCATGACAAAGTGGATCTGCCATTCAGAATGACTTCATCTTCTTAATAGTGAGCTCAAAGATCTAAAATATCATTAAATCATATGATTATGATTAATAAATTAATTAAATGTAGTTTAATAGAGTATATTAAGGTATGATGTACATTCTCATTTTAAGGCTCTGTCCCAATTTATCAACTCCTTTTGATTGATTGCAAATGTAAAATTAAATTATGAAAATCAAAAACATAAATGGATAAACCTTTAAATGATGATGATTTGATTGATGATCAGTGACTAGCGTATCTACCTACATCGTCCGAGTAATTATAAAGATATAGCGATCTGTCAGGAATAATTTAAAGTTATGACATTTTCCAAAATAAGGATACTTCCTATTGCTCAATCATAATTCTGATTGTTACTTCAAAATTGAAAATGAAATTTAATTTAGAGGTATTACTGCAGTGTTAACATGACAATCATAGCAAATTTAACTTTCTAGAAACCTGTCCAAAACTTTTTGCAATTTCACAACTATGAAGAATTCTTATCAAGTGATATACAACAGATCAAAAGTATCAAAAAATGTATGTTATAATAAAATGAGATTGACGAGGTCATTACCCATTTTGAAAGTTTGTCAGCGATCAGATGTTTGAGAGATGTCAATCAAGCTGTGCTTGGATTTGTGGGAAACTAAATGAAAAGATTGTAGGTTTTCAGTTTTGTCTTAACTGTATTTACATTAGGCGAGACTTTTTTATACCTTCTTTAGCAAACCCGCCGCCTGCCAATAATGATGATTTCGAATAAAAATAATTTTCAGAAAAAAATAAAAGTTTTTCTTTATTTTTATTACGCCCACTGCTGGCTTGAGGTCTCCAAAATAAGATATGTATATTTCTTCCTAATTATATAAATTTAAAGCATTTCACCATCCAATTACTACACTGTTTACATTCACCAATAAACTGTTTTTTTTTTTAAGGAAACAAAATTTTATCTTTTTTTTTCGCCCTCCTCTGACGATCATAAAAAAAAAAAAAAAAGTTTGCGAAACAAGGTATTAAAAAAGTCAAGAATCATGAGAGATTTA